CGGCAGCGCAAGAGAGGTCCTCTTTCTCCGCATCCTCGCCCACATCTGTCGTTGCCTGAGTTGTTAATGTCAGCCATTCTGACAGGTGTGAGGTGGTACCTCGTTGTGGCTTTGATTTGTATTTCTCTGATGATGAGTGAGGGTGAGTATTTTTTCATGTGTCAGTTGGCCATCTGGAAGTCTTCTTTGGACAGGTGTCTATTCATGTCTTTTGCCCATTTCTTCACTGGATTATTTGTTTTGAGGGGTGTTGAGTTTGATAAGTTCTTTATAGATTGTGGATATTAACCCTTTATCTGATATGTCATTTGAAAATATCTCCTCCCATTCTGCCGGCTGCCTTTCAGTTTTGCTGATTGTTTCCTTCACTGGGCAGAAGCTTTTTATCTTGATGAGGTCCCAATAGTTCAATTTTACTTTTGTTTCCCTTGCCTTCAGAGACATGTTTGGCGAGAAGTTGCTGTGGCTGAGGTCAAAGAGATTTTTGCCTGCTTTCTCTTCTAGGATTTTGATGGCTTCCTGTCTTACGTTTAAGTCTCTCATCCATATTGAGCTTATTTTTGTGTATGGTCTAAGAAAGTGGTCCAGTCTCATTCTCCTGCATGTCACTGTCCAGTTTTCCCAGCACCACTTGCTGAAGAGACTGTCTTTTTTTTTTAAATTTTTTTAAAAGTATTTTTTTTAATATTTTTTATTTATTTCTAGGAGAGAGAGAGAGACAGCGTGAGCAGGGGAGGGTCAGAGAGAGAGGGAGTCACAGACTGAAACAGGCTCCAGGCTCTGAGCTGGCAGTCAGCACAGAGCCCGACGCGGGGCTCGAACCCACGAACCGCGAGATCATGACCTAAGCGAAAGTCGGACGCTTAACCGACTAAGCCACGCAGGCGCCCCGTAACTGTCTTTATTCCTTTGGATATTCTTTCCTGCTTTGTCAGAGATGAGTTGGCCTTACATTTGTGGGTCCATTTGTGGGTTCTCTATTCTGTTCCACTGATCGGGGTGTCTGTTTCTGTGCCAGGACCATACTGTCTTGATGATTACAGCTTTGTAATACAGCTTGGAATCCGGGATTATGATGCCTCCAGCTTTGGTTTTCTTTTTCAGGATTGCTTTGGCTATTTGGGGTCTTTTCTGGTTCCATACAAATTTTAGGATTGTTTGTTCCAGCTCGGTAAAGAATGCTGGTGTTATTTTGATAGGGATTGCAATACACATTCTTTTCAAGTGCACATGGAACATTCTCCAGAATAGATCACATGTTAGGCATCTAAACAAGTCTCAAAAAATTCCAAAAGACTAAAGTCATCATAACACCTTTTCCAACCACAAGAAATCAACCACAAGAAAAAATATGGAGGAAAAAATACGGAAAGAGCACAGATACATGGAAGGTAAATAACATGCTACTAACCAATAATGGGTCAACTAAGAAATCAAAGAGGAAATTAAAAACTCATAAAAATGAACACACAATTGCCCCAAATCTTTGGGATGCAGCAAAACTGATCTAAGAGGGAAAGTAAAGTTTATAGTAATACAGGCCTACATCAAGAAGCAAGAAAAATCTCAAATAAACAACATAACTTTACACCTGAAATAGCTAGAAACAGAAGAACATAGGCCAAAGCCAATACAAGGAAGAAAATAATAATCATTGGAACAAAAATAAATGAACAGAGACTAAAAAATCAAGAGAAAAAGAGCTAGTTCTTTGAAAAGATTAACAAAATTTATAAACGTTTAGCCACACTCATAAAAAAAAAAAAAAAAAAAAAAAGGACTCAAAACCCTCCTAGGATTCTGGGCCTCACATGTGGTCAGGAAGGTTGGCTTCCTAGTGGGTTCAGGAATGTAGAAATTCACCCATCTAATAGGTATTGTATTTCTCACCTTGGGAGAATAATAGACTTTTGAAACTTCACTCCGAGATTTCTAATGAAAACTTCCAGCAAAGCAAACCTACGGTTTAACACTTGCTGCACCCACAGGAATACCTGGGTCACACTTACTAAGACCAGCTTCATTTTATGGCCTAGAGTGATCTTTGTTTGAAAAAAAATTTTTTTAAGTTTACTTATTTATTTTTGAGAGAGAGAGTGAAAACACAAGCAGGGGAGGAGTAGAAAGAGTGGGAGAGAGAATCCCAAGCAGGCTCTGCACCATCAGTGCAAAGCCTACCTTGGGGCTTGAACTCATGAACCACAATATCATGACCTGAGCTGAAACCAAGAGTCAGATGCTTAACTGACTGAGCCACCCAGGCGTCCCTTATTTATTTATTTTTTAAATGTTTATTTTGGGGGCACCTGGGTGGCTCAGTTGGGCTTCTGACTCTTGATTTAGGCCCAGGTCATGAACTCACAGTCTCACAGTTTGTAGAGTCTCACTGTCTCACTGACAGTGCAGAGCCTGCTTGGAATTCTCTCTCTCTCCTCTTTCTCTCTCTCCCCCCGCCGCCACTCATGTGCATGCACACAGATGTGTGCACTCTCTCTTTAATTTTTTAAAAATGTTTATTTAGTTTCGAGAGAGAGCATAAGTGGGGCATGTGCAGAGAGAAAAGGGGACATAGGATCTGATGTGGGCTCTGTGCTGACAGCAGCGAGTCCATTGTGGGGCTCGAACTCAATAACTGTGAGATCATGGCCTGAGCTGAAATCAGACACTTGACCAACTGAGCCACTCATGTGTCCCATGGGGGGAAAATTGTTTTAAATTGAAAGGTGGGGGGAGACAGTAACAAACAATTTAAATTTTGGAATAAACAAAATGCATTAATGGTATTTCTTTTTTTTAAGTGTGTTTATTTATTTTGAAAGACAAAGAGAGAGGAGAAGGGGAGGGGCAGAGAGAGAGGGAGATAGAATCCCAAGCAGGGATGTGGGGCTCTAACTCACAAACCATGAGATCATGACCTGAGCTGAGATCAAGAGTCAGACACTGAACTGAATGAGCCACCCAGGCGCCCCACATTAGTGGTATTTCTAACAGAAAACCACACATGATTAGAGTCCATCTTTCTGGATTATTTGATTCTGAGTCTACCAGATCCTACCTTTCATCCCCTTGGCAGAGCTACCTTCTAGCTCTCTAAATCATAGATGACCAGTAGCAATGCAGACATTTCCTTTTCATAGATTTGCAAATAAATTTGGTTCAGCAGAAATTCAATTGTTTTTTGTGTGTGGAAAGTGCTAATCTGCATCTACATTTAAATTCATTACAAAAAATGTAAATGTCATCAACACTTTATTTTACAGATTATAAAACTGAATTTTGGGGCACCTGGGTGGCTCAGTCGGTTAAGCGTCCTACTTCGGCTCAGGTCATGATCTTACTGTTTGTGGGTTCAAGCCCCGCATCGGGCTCTGTGCTGACAGCCCGCTCAGAGGCTGGACCCTGTTTCAGATTCTGTATGTCCCTCTCTCTCTGACCCTCCCCTGCTCACGCTGTCTCTCTCTCTCTCCAAAATAAACGATAAAAAAAGAAAAACAACTGAATTTTAAAAACAAACAAACATGGGCACCTGGCTGGCTCAGTTGGTAGAGTGTGTGACTCTTGATCTTGGAGTCATGAGTTCAACCGTTGGATGTGAAAATTACTTAAGTATATATATTTAAATTTATATATATATTTAAAATAAATACATAAAAACAAAAATTTTATTTCATCATCCTTTACTCCACATAAACTTGTGGGTTTTGAATTTTCTCTTTTGAATTTGTAATCACTTCCTTGTTCTCTCATTAGTTAAGAGTTAAGTAAACCTTTGACACACTCTACTGATTTTTTAGGAATGATGAAACAGGTTTCCCTGGGTGGCTTGGTTGGTTAAGCATCTGACTTCAGCTCAAGTCATGATCTCACAGCTGGTGGGTTCAAGCCCCACTTCGGGCTCTGTGCTGACAGCTCAGAGCCTGGATCCTGCTTTGGATTCTGTGTCTCCCTCTTTCTCTTCCCCTCCCTTGTTCGCACTCTGTCTCTCTCTCAAAAATAAATAAACATTAAAAACTTTTTTAAAATAAGGAATGATGAAACAAATCACCACCAATTTGGTGGCTTACAATGACAGAAATGTATTCCACAAGAGTGCTGGAGGGCAGAGACCTGAAATCAAGGTGTGGACAGGGCTGGCTCTTTCTGGATGCTGAGGCAGACCCTGTTCTGAGGCCCTTCCCTGCTTCTGGTGCTGCCAGTGATCCTGGGCACCCCTTGGTTCATGGTCACATTGCTCTTTCTCCAACTCTGCCTTCACATTGGGTTTTCCCTGCGTCTCAGGCCTCTTCCTCTCTTCCATTCTAAAGACACCGGCCACCGGACTCAGGGCCCGTCCTCCTCCGGGATGCGATCTCATCCAGAGAACCGCACCTCATTTACATCCGTGACACCCCTATTTCCAAATAAAGTCCCATCACGAAATGCAGAGGTTAGGACCCCGACGTGTCTTTTGTAGGAACATTGTTCAGTTATCAGATACAAAATCATTTTATGTTTGCGGGAGAGACATGTTTCGTAGTAAACACATGCTTCCATTAAAAAACAACAGTTTTGTAGACTCAAAGGCCTGGGGACACAGGGATGCTGGGAGATTTGGGAGATGTGCCTGGGGTGGGGGGCTGACTGACAGCGCGGGAGTGGACCGGGTGGGGGGTTTGGGTGCAGCAGGAGGAGTGGTCACTGGGGAGGAGGCTTTCCTGTTGCTCCCGGGGCCCAGCTGTCTCAGTTTTCGGGAAGTAACTTCAGGTAGCACCGCCGGGGAGGGGGGGGGGGCACTCAGTCCAGGGGCCTGGCCTGGGCAGGAGCCCCAGTCGGTTCGAGGGCCCTTTCATGTGGCAACAGCACAGAGTCCTTGCCTTTGCCGGCTTGGGGAGGGGTAACTGGCTGTACCTGGTTTCCCAGAAGTGGACAAGAAAGTCCCTCAGCCACGGCACGCCCAGCCCCAGGGCAGGTGGCCCAGGCTTCCTGCGTCCGCGTCAGAGCTCCTCTTGCTACTGTCAGCCTCCTAGCGTCACTTCTGAGGCGCCCTGGCGCGTTTCCATATGGGCCTCCCGGACCTGTTTCATTAGACATTACGGAGTTAGGTGAGGAGGCTGAATGTGTGCAACTGGGAACATTCCAGAAAGCCTGGTCTCGGGTGGGGCTCAAGTTCCGCTGTCAGGCCATGGCCTGGACTCTGGGGATCCGGTGGTGAAGACAGAACCCTGTCTTCCTGGCAAGGCAGGCAAAAAATAAATAAAAATTAAAAAAAAAAAAAAAGCAAAAGAAGAAAACAGCGAGGGCAGCCGTCCGCCTTCAGCCAGAGTATGGAGCGCGGCGCTGGTTACACTGCGGGCAACGCGAACAACGGGATTCTGGACACCGCGCCGTGCTGCAGCACAAGAGGCCGGGGGTGGCGTGTCCCACCGTCAGGCGCCGGGGGCTGGGGGGGGTCACGGGGGGGAGGGGCGGCGGGGGGGCCGCGGGAGCCGTGCGGGAGGGTGCGGAGCGGCCGGCGAGCTGCCGGGTGGGATCCGCCGACGCGCAGGGAGCTCCCGGAGGTGCACGTGGCGGGGGGCGAGCAGGCGAGGCTCGGGGCGGGCGCTGCGGGACGGCCAGACTGGAGGCGCCGTCCCCGCGTCCCCGACCTCGAGGGGCGTGGCTGCCGAGAGGGGGTGCCGCAGGGGGGCGGCCGGAGAAGCCCCGCTGGCTTGTCGCGGGCTGGGGTGCCGGGGGGAGGGGCCTCGCCTGCCCGAGGAGAGCGCCTGGAGCGAGCGGTGTCACCCCGGCAGGGGCGGGAAAGGAGGGAGGAGGGACAGCGGCCGGGCTGGGCGGCAGGTGCCGGGGGAAGACGACTTCCCGCGGGGCTTGGCTCCCCTGTGCGCCCCGGTCCCGGCGTGTTGGATTGCCCCGTTTCCCCGACGCCCGGAACAGCGGCTCGGGTGTCCCCGGCCGGCGTCCGAGGAACAAGGGCACTGCAGCGACGCAGGAGCTGCCTCAGCAGCTGAGTCGCAGCCCCATTTTGTAGTGAGGGAAGCGAGCCACAGAGCAGCCGAGTGTCACCCCAGCCCGCGGCGCGGAGGTGCTGGGCGGGCCCCCTCCGCGCCCCGCCGGCCGGGCCCGCTCTGAGCCGCGGCGCCCCGCTCCCGTCTGCCTCCCGCGTCCGCCCCCGCTGGGAGCCCCCGGGGAACCCGTGCGCTGACTCGCCGAGCCGCAGCGTCCACCGGGCGGGAGAAGACCGGCCGCTCCCGGTCCCGAGCGCGGCCAGCCCTGACCGGTCCTCCGCAGCCCGGACGCGCGGCGCTGTCCACGCCCTGAGGCAAGTGTGCGGGCGCCGCCAGGAGGCGCTGCTCCGCCGCAGACGCCCGCACGCTCGGGAGGGGCCTCCTGGCCCCGCCCACCGCCCTCGGGGCGGAGAGCGCGTGCGCCCTGCTCCGCGCCTCGCGGGGGCTGCTGGGCGGAGAGAGGCGAGCGCGCGGCGGGCGGGCGGGCGTGGAGCGGCGGCCTGGAAGATGTGGCGGCCGGTGAGTCCTCGGCCGGTGAGTCCTCGGCCGGCGTCCGCGCTCGTAGATCCGGTCAGCGTCCATCCGGAGCCCTCGGGGCTACCCCGGAGCCGCGCCGTCCTGGGCTCCGTCAGGGACCGTCACAGCCCACCGACCCTTCCTCCCCCGGGACCGTCGCCCCCCCCCTCCCCCCCCGTCAGGGACCCGCACAGCCCGGAGGCCCTCCCCCCACCTCCGCCCCCGGGACCCCCACCCCCTACCCGGCAGGGGTCCCCGGGACTCTTGGGGGCGTCCTTCACGACATCTCAGTCCCCGTCCGTCAGACTAAAAGCCCCCCAGGCCGTGTGGGGGAATGCTGCGTGCCACCTCGAGCCCCCCGCAGAGCCCGCTCGTCTCGCCGCAAGCGCCGGTGCTGGGCCAGGGACCTGCTCAGAGACAGCGGCCGAGTCTTACACAACACCGCTGTCCGGAGAGACCCCCTTTCCCAGGGCGGCCTGTCCTGGCTTCCTGGACTGATGGACACCCTTCCTCCCCCAGCCTCATCTCTGCCAGAGTCCCAGACCGGAGTCCCCGGTCTTTCCTTCCGCCTGCCCCTTGGGAGCCCTGCCCCTGGCCACCGAGCCGCCTCAGATGGCCCTGAGCTGACGCCTGCCCCCTGCTTCCGAGGAGATGAGAGGACTCTGGGGAGTGTCGGGGCGCCGTGTCCGGCTCGGAGGTGGGCTGCGCCCCCGTCCCAAACTTCCGCCTGGTCCTGGGCCGACCTGACGGCGCTGCTGCCCCAGTTCTTTCTTGGTCGGGCCTCCCGTTGTGCTGTGTCTGCGGTTAGGATGGGCACCTTTTAAACCGGGCGTCCTAATCACTGACCGGCGTCGTAGCCACGCGTCCCCTGGAATGCAGGCTTTTCCCCGGATGGCGTACAGCTGAAGAGACTGAGGGTTCCTGGCATCTTGGAGCTCTGCGCCGCCTAGTAAGCCTAGCCTTGTTGCGTGGATGCCAGCCGTGGAGATGCGTTGGGGCTACGATTTGAGCCTTGCCAGGAGCCGCGCGATGCACAGGAGTCATAGGTCTGAGACGATGCAGGACTGGTCTGAGTCAGGCAGAGAGACGCTGGGTTGGCCTGGGCACAGCACCTTACAGCTTATGAAGCTTGTGGGCACATTCAGGTCACCAAATCCGGCCCCGCAAGGAGCGGGCAAGCTGGCGTCAGCTTCTGGTTAGGGGCTGCTCACAGCCGCTAAGTAGAGCAGAGCCCATGCAGCTTCTGGGTCCTGACTGGTGCAGAGAGGCCATAGGCCCTTAGAAAAGGAAAGGGCAGGCTGTTTGTGGCCCTGAGACCCCTTCCCAGCCTCACTTCCTAAGCACGGAGACACTGTGGGGACACTGCTGTGCTTTGGTTTCCTCCCTGCGGGAAACTGCCCGGGGTCTCAACACCTGTAGTTTTTCTGTTTTAGGGTCTCGTGGTGAGACTCAGCAGTTGCTTCCTAGTGCGAAGGGCTGGGTCGCCTGTAGTGACCTTTCGTCTGCTAATCTGCTCTGTCTAATCGATAGGGTGCTAGAAAAACAGGCAACTCGGCTTGACTTTGACTCTGGAATATCTATTTGATTCTCACTACTGAGAGCTTTCTGCTGTGGTTGTTGCTACTCTGTAGGTTGTTAGCTGAGTTCCAGATGAACGCTGCGTCTGCAGGCAGGCTGTGACGTGAGAGGCTGGGCAGAGGAGGCCCAGTTCGGCTCATCCGAACTGGAAGGCTCTGAGTGGTGGCTGTTGAGACAAGTGTGAGCAAGGACTGTCCCAGGCAGGCCAGGCCATGCGGTCGTCCCGGTGAGAAGCTCTGGTGTGTGGGGGAGTACCCTGGGGAGCCACACTCTCCCCCTGCCTGTTTGCCGGCATGCCCGCAGCCCAAGCTCTGGGTGCGGTTTGGGTTGTATGTGATCTGGTGGCAACTGCCCTGGACCCGTGCCTGGAGATCTGGCTGTGACTCTGCCCTGCCCTGTATTTATAACCACACAACTTCTTGGGGCTTTGGGATGTCTCTTGGGTGATGGGGATAGTTTGAGGAGTATTGGGCGTCCCAAACTGGAAGGAGCCAGGTTCCGGAATGTGCCTGTGGACCCTGGAGGGGGCTCTGGAGTTGTCAGCATGAGGCCTCGTCCTTGGAGTCCTGTCCAGAGCCAGGCTGCTGCCATTGCTTACCTGACTGTGGTCTTCTGCATACTGCTCACCTAGCATCCAAGGGTACTAGTTCATTTTCTGCTTAGTACTGTTCATCTCAGTCCAGCAAGCCTTCATGGAGATCCTGCTCTATCCAACAGGCACTGCACTAGATCCTAGGAGCAGAGAGGTGATGGGGAAGTCTGGTGCCCAGTCTGTTGGGGGGACAGACACTGCACACTGACAGTCCCCCTGCTGAGTGAGAAGGACAGCGGGGAGGTGTGTGCCAGGTACAGAGGTGGACGGGGGATGCCAGATGGGAGTGATGAATTTGGGTCTGGCGAGGGGGGTTCCAGGCAGAACCGCAGCCTGGAGGAAGGCCTGGGCCTGGTGCTGTGTGGGCTCTCCAGGGGCCACCAGAGGGGTCTTTTTATGGGAATGCGACTGAGAAGTCACTCCTGCTGCGAGGCCTCTAGGTAAACAGAAAACTGTTAGTGGGGGTTATGGCCAGGGGCTCTTACTTTCTGGCCTCGCCCTCTCAGAAGCTTGGGGTGCAGCCAGGGCCTTGTGCTTCAGTAATTAATATATTATTTATTACTATATATTTAGTAATAAAAAATATTTCAGATTTAGCATTGTCTTCTGTGAAAGCGCATGAGTGTGGCCCCTCCTGCTCAGCGCTCAGTAGGGCACTCAGGGGGGCATCCAGAGGGAGGGCTGGGGGCTCTGGCGAGGCTGGGGTCTGCCCGTGGCCTCGGGGCAGCCACGCCACACTCCCTGCCCGCCCTTACTTCAGCCTCTGAGTCGTGAGGCCTTTTGCTCTGCTCCACAGTTCATTGGCTAGAATAACTCCTGGACCCTCCCTTTCCTTCCGGATGCTGCTCTCAGAGTAACCCTTGTCCATCAGCCTCAGGCTCTTCCTTCTTTGCCTGCAGTGGTGCAGCTTCTGAACCGATGAACCCCATTGGAATTCCTCAGCAAACCCTACTTTGCTGCCCTTTCACTTTGCTCCTACCCTTCTCCAGTTAACTAAAGCATTTCTACGTATTCTGTATGTAACATAGCTCCAAGTTTTACATATGTTGGAAATAGTCTCTCTTTTTTTTTTTTCTCAGCTAAACACTTTTTTTCCTTGTGAAAAAGCGGTAAGAAGCCCATGACCTTTTAACATAAGTAGTTCATTTTAATCTAGCAAGTGTGTACGTTGTGTTAGGTGGCGTGGCCTGTGGGGGCAAGGCTGTTGGCAGGAGAGTAAGGGCACAGGGGCCAGCAGGTGGCCTGGCACAGGAAGGCTGTGGAGAGTGGCTGCTCCTTGACCCCACCGTGACCTCAGCACGCCCATCTGCCTGGCCTGTGGTGCGAGGGGGCACCGTGCAGAGGGCTTTGCGAATGTCAGTTCACTTGACCTATATGTTAATAGTTGAGTGGTCCTCATTTTATAGATGGGGAAACTGAGGTATAGAGAGGGAAGTAACTTACCCCCATACACTGCTCAGCTAGTGTTTGCTGGAGCCTGCATTCCAGTTAGAGGCTCAGAAGTCACAGTCCATAGTCAGCCTTCTCAGCCTTGGCTCCACCCAAGTGTCTAGGGCAGGGCCGTCCTGGGGACTGGGTGGTGTTGAACCTTGTCCCTGACCTCCACCCATTCAATACCAAGAGCATTCCTTACCCCAGGTTGTGACCACTGAGAGTGTCGCCAAGCAATGCCAGACGCCCCAGGCACACGGTCCCCCCCAGTGAGTAACCTGTCCTGCGGTAGCTGCCTCATCTTCAAGATGCCACCATCCTCAGTGCAGGGGGAAAGGAACCCTTGTGCACCGATGGCGGCCATGCAAACTGGTGCGGCCACTGCGGGACACAGTGTGGAGAGCTCCTCAGAAAGTTAAAAATAGAACCACCCTCCCATCCAGTAATTGCACTACTAGCTATTTTCCCTCCAAAATACAGAAACACTAATTCCCAGAGACACATGCATCCCAGTGTTCATTGCAGCATATTTATAATAGCCACAATCGTAAGTGTCCACCAAGCAGCTGTAGTGTCCACCAACTGGTGACTGGATAAAGATGTGTGTATACACACGCACGCATGCACATGCACACATACGCGCGCGCGCACACACACACACTGGGATATTACTCAACCATAAAAAGGAATGAAATCTTGGTCATTAGCAACATGGATGGAGCTAGAGAGTAATAACGCTGAGCAAAATAAGTCAGAGAAAGACAAGTACCATATGATTTCACTCACACGTGGAATTTAAGAAACAAATAAAAGGGGGAAAAAGAGATAAACCAAAATATAGACTCTGAACTCCAGGGAACACACTGCTGGTCACCAGAGGGGGGCGGTGAACTAGGCGATGGGAAGAAGGGGCACAGCGGTGATGAGCACCGGGTGATGTGTGGAAGCCCTGGACTACTGCATTGTACGCCCGGAACTGATATGATGTCGTACATTAAATATACTGGAATTAAAATAAAAAACTAAAAAAATGCACGACAATAGTATAAAAGTCAGGAAGGTTAAAAACAATTGAAAAGGGGCGCCTGGGTGGCTCAGTCGGTTAAGCGTCCGACTTTCGCTTAGGTCATGATCTCACGGTTCGTGTATCGAGCCCCGCGTCGGGCTCTGTGCTGACTGCCAGCTCAGAGCCTGGAGCCTGTTTCGGAGTCTGTATCTCCCTCTCTCTCTGACCCTCCCCTGCTCATGCTGTCTCTCTCTCTCTCTCCTAGAAATAAATAAAAATATTAAAACAAAAAAAGAGGTTCTCAGTAACTATTTAAAAAAAAAAAAAACAGAATTGAAAGTGTATGAAAGTATTTGCATTTGGAGGAGGCCGTAAAAGTATTTGTGACTATATTTCAAGTAAAGAATTCATAGTTTAGTCATTCGTGTAACTACACAAAACTTTGTAAATGATTGCAACTAACTAAAAGCTTATAAAGGAAAAGATAGAATAATTTTAAAAAGTTAAATCAAAAAACAAAAACAGGGGCTCCTGGGTGTTCAGTTGGCTGAGCGTCCAACTTTGAGATCAGGTCATGCTCTCAAGGTTTCTGAGTTTGAGCCCCACATCAGATCCTCTGTCTCCCTCTCTCTGCTCCTCCCATGCTTGCAAGCATGTGCGTGTGCTCTCTCTCTTTCCCAAAGATAATAAATAAACATTTAAAAAGTAAATGAAAAGCCCCAGAAAAACAGTGCCATCTTCCTGGCTGGCACTTGGAGTGGCGTAGCAGGTGCCCGTGGCTCTGATCATGAGAACATGTAAACGCAGGGACGCACTGACACAATATGGTACCGCATAGTTAATTGTCCAGATACTGGCCGCCTAGATCCACCCGTTGTTAGTATCATGCCCTAGTTGTTCCTATTTTTATTTGAAATTTTATATTGTCATTCGACCATTTGAAAGTGAGTTGCAGACATATACAGTCTCTGAACATTCCAGCACGCAGGCCCTCGACAAGAACATTCTCACTTAATTGTGCCTAAAAACGGGAACAGTAATCCCCGAATGTCTGTCCAGAGTCTGACTTGCTTGTTACCCCAGAAATGTTTCCGGGTGCCGTCTTTCACCCTGAAGTGCGTCACGGTGTCATGTCGGTCACAGTCTTCCCACTTTTTTTTTCTTGTGACTTTTTTTTAACTTCTTGTTATAAAAACTTTGCAAATATTTATAGAAGTAGAGATAATTAATAAATGGCAGTGCCCTGCACCAGTGTTCCCAACTCATGGATCCTAATGACTTTCTGGAGAGAGCAGGCTGTTTAGAATGTCCCACAGCCTGGATCTACCTGTTGGGTATGCTCAAGGTCACTAGTAGTGGATGTTGGTGGCTGGTGGCTGGTGGTGGTTGTCAGTTCTCACTCAGTGGGCTTCTAGAGAAGATTGGATTTCTAGCACAGCTCTCAGTGGCCAGAGGTTCAGGCAGCTGGCGTGTGATGGCATTGCGACACTCCCAGGCTCTCAGACACCAGCCTTGGGTCATCTTGCCCGCTCCTCACACTTGACTTGGATCCACTTGGCTCCATCACCCAGCGCTTCCCCCCCTCCCCCGTGAACTGAGCTCCCCAGCACATTGCCCACTCCCTGCAGGAAAACCCCAGGGCCCCTTGGGATGCCCTGTCCGGCTCCAGCGCACTTTGCTGCCCCCGCCCCGGCCCCACCAATGAGCATGCAGTATGTCTGCATGGACCTCTCCTCCACAGAAATGCCCTGTGCTCTCCTGGCTTTAGGCCTTCCCTGAAGCCACATCCTCTGCAGAGGAAGACCCTCTCTGGTGTCCACATGGAAGTCCCCTTGCTGCCAGGTCGTGGGTCTTATGCCTGCACACGGTCCCTATGATTTCTGGGCTTTGTATGCATTTGTTGCACGCAGGACCCAGTGTCACCTGGACAGGGTTTGTTTGATGGGGTGTGTGGCGGGAGACGCGCAATCAGGTGAGACCTACCTATCTGCAGGCCTGGAAGAGAACAGGCAGGGGCCGGACGGAGCCTGGGCAGAACTGCGTCTGAGGGGAGTGTGCGGTCTGGGTGTGGGCAGGGCTTGCCCTTTCTGGCACCGTGTTGTCACCAACCCTGGCCTGAGACAAGGCGGCAGGTCCCAGCCGGGACCACACATCCTGCAGGCACTTACTAAGGTTCAGAGCAGCCGTCCACCAGGTGTCTGAGGTCACAGATGCCCGTTCTCTGGGCTTCCTCCTCTGGTGAGCCTCAGGGTAGCCGTGCGTGCTGTGCGTGCGGCCAGTCCAGGTCATGTGAGCCGGAGGGCGGTAGGGGGGCGACCCGAGGGCCGTCAGGGCTGCCGCGCTGCTCCCTTGCGCAGAAAGCCTAGGGGCTCTGCCCGCCGCTGGTCGTGGCTGCCCCTCTCGCCTCTGTGCGGTTTCCTTGAGCATCGGCACTCCCCGTTTGCAGCCTTGCTGAGCAGAGGTTTTCCGTCCACTGTGTTCTCGAGGGACAGTAGGTCATGGACCTTTTCTTTTGACTTTTGTGTTATTGCGCAGTCCTTGAAATTGTCTTCAGGGCCGTGTGCTTTGGCCAGAACATGTTTGGGAAGTCGATCCTTATCTGGCCTGGGGTTCACGGTGCTGGTGTCAGCGTCTGTGCCGTGGGTCACGACTTACTGCGCATAGCCTTTTCTTCCCTAAAAGTTGAATTTGCAGCGGGGGGTCTGTGGTTGAGGAGCCCTTATATCATAATTAAAATAAGATCCGGAGAGCAAAGCCGTGAGGGTGGGAGAGCCATGAGGGTTCTGTGGTCACTGGGGTAGGCGGCGCCCCGCGCAGTCCCCGCACTCCTGGCTCAGGACACTGCCACTCAGCCTCCCCGCCCCCGGGCCCTCCTTCTGGGCCATGGCGCATGCTCTCAGGATGACCTTTCCTGGTTCTGGTCTTCTGCCCGAGAGTCTGACGTCTCTCTTCCTCCCCCCATCCCTCTCTCCCTTCCTTCCTTTTGTTTATTTATTTATTTTGAGGGGGCGGGGAGGGAGAGGCAGATAGAGGAGGGATGGGGGGAGAGAGAATCCCAAGCAGGCTCCATGCTGTCAGCATGGAGCCCCACTCGGGGCCCAGACCCATGAACCGCAAGATCATGACCTGAGCTGAAACCAAGAGTCGGATACTTAACCCACTGAGCCACCCAGGCTCCCCCTGACATCTTTCTGATTGTGTGATGAGGCATTATTATTCCTTCCTTTGGAAATTCAGGATGACTTCCTGAAGCTGCTGGTCAGTGGGCTGAGCAGCAGAAAAAGAGTTAGTAAACCATAGGTCCCAGGGCCTCAGTAGAGTGTCAGAGGCAAGGACTGACTGAGGGGTGTACAGAGGCGGGGCGCTTCTCATGACCTGTCAGGTGCAGACTGTGTGCAGCCTTTCCCTGTGCCGTGATTCTTAGACTTTGGCCTTACTTGTGGGAGCTGGGGTTGTCTTTGCACGCCTGAATCAGACCTGGGGGCCTGGCCCCAGGCACACACCCCGGCTCTGCTGACAAACTTCCATGACATGTTTTTGGGTACAGGGAGGTACGGGTGCCCCTCAGATCCAGGCCTGGGGATTCCAGGGTGGCCGGAGACTGGAGGGCGTGTTCTTGCCGCGGCTGACCCCGTGCCCTTTGCTCACCCTGCAGTCACAGCTCTGCCGCTTCCACTCTGCCCTGCGGAGCACGACAGAACTCTGCCTGTCCCCTGCCGCCTTCTCCAGGAGAAACCTCAGGGTCCTGCCTGCAAGGTGGTGAGTTCCCCGCAGCCGCAGGCGCCCTCTAGGGCGCGTGCTTCTTGCCAGGCAGGGAGGGAAGGCCTGTCTTGTGGGGCCCGAGGCTGGACTTCTCTGTGCTTCCACCCCCAAGACAGATACGTTTGCTCTACCGTGTGGTGGCTCGGAACCCCCCACCGCCAGGCCCCAGAGCTCGTGGGGCGGGACTCCCTGCCCGCGGCGGCCAGCAGACCGCAGCTAGAGCTGTGTGCTATGAGAAGACAGTGACCAGTCCAGGCAGGTGCAGGCGGGCGGGGACCGCCGTGGATGGAGCCACGACCAGAGGTGGAAGCAGCGAGAGACGGGGCGGGGGTGGGGTCCAAGCCTGGGGCCCGTGGGCAGGGCGGGGCAACAGTGAGGGGCATGTCAGGAGCCCGGCCTCGGGGCTGGTGGAGCTGCTGCTTGGTGACCCTGGGGCGGACGCTGGGCTCCTGCCGGCCTCTCACCTTAGTACCCATCACCTGTGCGTGTTGTCCAGCCGTGCCGTCCAATGCTTTGCCGTCTAGCGTGCCGTCATGGAGGTGGACAGTGGCTATAACTGTACAGCGCAGGAGGCCCTGGTCCCTAGAAGGTCACAGCTCTGCCTGCGAGCTGCTTCCCATGTAGCCAAGGAGCCCCCTTCTGTGCTCACCGGCCTCTCAGAGCCCGGCGTCCAAGTTGACCAGAATCCCTCGAGCATCCACGGGGGCATCTGGAACTAACCTGATCCATGTACCTCTGTCTCCCTCCAGGTCTTTGAGACCCCGGCCCCTATGGAGGAAGGTGCTCTCTGCCATGGTGATGGGGGTACCCCTGCTTCTTGGGGTCCGCTATTTCACAGCAGAGCCGCAGGAGAAGAGAAGGATGAGGCTTGTAGTGGACGGTGTTGGGCGCTTCAGCAGGTAAAAGGAGCCGGGGGCGTGGCGCGGCCTCTCTTCTGGCGCGGTCCCGCCTGAGATGCCTGGGGCTTGAGCCCGGGCTGGGAAGGGCTGCAGGGTGTCCTGGGAGCTTTCAGGCTGCCTTCTGGGCCCCCTTGTGCTGCCGGAGGAGGAGGCAGTTGAGCACCGCAGGGTCCACGTGGACGGAGTGCCGATGAGCCGTCCACACTGGACGTACCTCTGCAGGCCCTTCAGTTTAGCCTTGACCAGTTGGAGGGAGGAGAGCTGGTGCCTCCCTACCTCAGGCTGCTGCCAGCTGGGGGGCAGACGGGCCGCTGGTGCCACCGTCTCCTCTTCCTCCCCCTCCTCCTCCCTGTCCTTGTCCCCCTCCTCCTCCTCCTCATCCCCACTCCCCCAAGGAAAGCTGGCATGCAGAGAGGTTTGGGGCTCAGAGAGGAGGGCTGTCATCCCTTCTCTACTCCCATTGGACTGGACTAGAGATGGACAGTGTCTGGTCATTAATATCAAAGGTGCCTTAAACTGAAGGCCCTTTTCGTACTCCCTTCTCTCCCAGTGCAAGATTCTTGGAGGGAGGGAGGGAAGGTGACTTCCTGTTGGAGCATCTTAGACACATCTACTATTGGTCAGATCCAGAAATTCCTACAGCTAAGAAGTCCTGAGAAGCAGCTCTTGGCGTTGAGTGAAACCTGCGTCTACCGAAACCCGCCGTGGGGCTGGCTCAGGAAGCGGCTCACAGGAGACCTTGGTCAAGGGGAGGGCGTGGTCCTGCTCTGCAGGCTCTGAGCACCTGCGGCCTCTCAAACCTGGGTCATTTCTCAAGAGCAGGCTCAGGACTGCTAAGGCCTTCAGCACTTAGCCAGAAACTTCTCTGAGGTTTATGCTAATGGAGGCTATAGATGGCTGGATGCGTGAATGCTTGGCCACTTTCTGCCGTGAGGACACAAGCCCATCACTTCCTAGCTCACTGATGGCGGTCTCCCTAGGTGGTCAGGTTTGCCTGAAACACCGAGCCGCCCTTGAGGGCAGCTTCTGGGCAGTGACTTCTCTGTCCCGCAGGGTTGCGCAGTCTCCATAGCCTTGAGGTTGATGAGGGCAGAGCGTGGAGTCGGCTCTGTCTTTCCTTCTCTGAGGCCTATTGGAGACTGTCCCCGTGCAACCTGGTTCTGAAATGCACACTCAGCAGGTCCGGGCTTGCCTCATCTTCTGCCTGTCGTGTGCCGTTATTCCCCAGCGTCAGGTGCCCCGTCCGCAGGCTTGCTGCGCCGGCCTTCTCGGCCTCCTTCCTGAGAAAATGTAGTTTTACAGCTTGCTTTCTGAGGCTGAGCGGGGAGTAGAGGGGGGGGAGCTTTCTCGTCAGCTGTAAGCCCCAGCAGTTGCCAGGAGAGGCAGGCTGAGCACAGGGTGACCACAGGGCCTCTGGAGTGAGGGGCAGCGTCGATGCAGGAGCCCGGGGCGGCACACGGGCAAGGAGCAGGCCGGGGCCGGCCCGCCACCGGGAGAGCCAGGGGCTTGTTCTGGGGCAGGACAGCAGAGATCAGAACACGTCACGTGCGTGTGAAGGCTCACAGATGGGGTAGTGGGAAGTTGGCATCAAGGCCGTAGTTTCTCACCCCACCCCTTACGTAATTTTAACTTTTCAGAAATGTGTGGGCTTTCCTTTTTTGGAGACAATTTCAAATGTCCAGAAAAGTTGTAAGAATAATACAAAAGAACTTTTTGCTTCTTGAAACATCTGCAAGTAAGTTGTCAGTGTGCTCCATGGTCCCTGAAACCTTGAGTGTGCCCCTAAACAAGGACATTTTCCATAAGCACAATCAGGAAGCTGATGCTTGTGAGCCTCTCAACGCCTTAACTCGTTCATGTGTCCTCAGGCATCCCTGCAAGAACCTTTTTAGTACAAGGATCCCATGCCTGGCCCAGCGCCAGTCTCCTACAGTCTAGAACATTCCCCGTGTCTCCTTGGCTTTTTTTTTAGGTTGATTTATTTGTTTTGAGAGAGAGGCAGAGAGAGAGAGAATCCCAAGCAGGCTCCACACTGTTAGTGCGGAGCCCGATGTGAGCCTCGAACCCATAAACCACGAGATCATGACCTGAGCCAAAACCAACAGTTGGATGCTTAACCGACTGAGCCACCTAGGCACTCCTCTCCTTGGCTGTTATGGCTAAACTTGAGGTCAAGCATGGTCCCCCAGACTCCTGTTTGTGCCTAGGCTGTCCTCAGGGGTCCCCGTAGACTCAGTTTCAATAGTACCTTAGGACAAATGACAGCACTCAGGAAAGTGCTGGTGTCTGGATTATGTTGTTATCAAAGCAAAAAAGATAACAAATCAGGGTAAGCCCAGGGAAGAGAAGCACAGAGGCAGGCCCTGGAGAGCCCCAAATTCAGAGCTTCCATGTCCTCAGAGACACGTTACACCCCCGCTCCTGTGCGTGTTTTGACGTGTGACTGTGATTTTAGGGTATTAATCCCTGAGCTTCAGTGTGCAGTTTCATTTCACGCGCGTGACTGAATCGTTGGCCTCGTGGTTGAACTCCGTGTCCAATCTCCCTCCCCTCCAGGTAGGCTGATATCTTGGTTCAGAGCCCCCCAAATTCTAGTCACACGGTTGATCTTTCTGGCGATCTGAGCTGTTTGTTGTCATGAACTGTCCTGGCACATCACGAATCAGACTTTCCTGTGACTCGCGGGACCCCGTGGTTTTAGAGGCTCCCTGCTGGAATTTTGGGACAAAGGCCAAGCCTTTCTGGATAAAGTTAATTCTTCGTTACTCAATGACCTTGACATAGCTGGAGGCTTACAGGCCAGTATGTTGTACAACAGGGGTCAGCAAACTATGGCCACACAGGGTTGCTGCCTGTTTTATCAATAAAGTTTCTCGGAACCACAGTCACGTCTGTTGCGCCCACGTTGCCTGTGGTTCCTTTCACCACAGGAGCCAAGTGGAGGCCAAATGGCTCATAAAGCCCCAAAGACCTTTATGTTACTTCGGGAAGGGAAATTTTGCTGGGCCCTCCGGTTGGGTTTGTCTGATGTTTGCTCACGGCTGGATTCAGCTGGGAACAGCACGGAAGCGCGTGGGGTCAGTGCGTCCTCGGGAGCGCTGCCGTGTGGTTGCCAGTCTGTGTTAGTGTCCGTCCCTCGTGCCCATGGGCTCAGGATCTTCCAGGACATCTTAGGGGAGCTCGTTCTTCTGTGGTCGCCAAGCGGCGGTTTCCGAATTCAGTCCTTCCACGCTCGTCAGCTGGCATCGCCCCGTTTACTCGTGTCCGTCTGGGCTCGTGGACGTTTTATGTTATTCTGTGGGTTGCCCTCTGTTGACATCGCTGTGGTTTTTTTGCTGCTGAGCGTTCCAGGACTGGCTGGTGGGAGCCCCCTCAACCTGGCCTTTGTGATTCTTTTTTTTTTTTCCAAGTTTTTATTTAAATTCCAATTAGTTAACCTACAGTGTAACATTAGTTTCAGGTGTAGATCCTTTTATCTCCAACATTTTGTAGTAAAAAAATTCAAACGGTGAAATTGGAAACACTGTACAATGAACATAGATTTTGCCATTAACATCTCCGTTTTTTTTTTTTTTTTTCTTTTTTAATACCCACCCCCTGAATCCTTTTGCCGTGTCCCTGTTTCTGGGGCATTTTGTCCTTTCTTGCGTTGACACCATGGGCCCATCCTCTTTTTCCCCAGGCCTGGAATCTGCTGCTCTCCAAGGGAGCCTGGTTCCTTGGGATGGAGAAGGGTCTGAAGGACCATGACGCGGACGCTGGTGTGCCCAGAGCTCTGGGCTGGGTGTGCTCCCAGGCCCTTCCAGACTAGCGCTTGGGGTGTCAGGGCACGTGGGCGTGTGCACGTGTGCACATTCAGCTGTGCTTGTTTCCGTATCTGGCGTACGCATCAAACCCTGCCTTCACACAGATACTTCACCAGAGATCATTCTCATTTTCTCCCTTTCTAGATCTGTAACTCTCCAGTTGGGAGAATCCTGGCATTTTCTGTCTTTAGTTTAGTGGCTTATTCGATCAGTCACTCCCGAGAGAAGCACTTATCCCCACCCCCCCAACCTTTGCAGACCTTGCATTGGCTTTTGGACTGAATTATTCAGGAAGGAGGGAAGCCCCCTTCCCTGGTTTGTGTCTCTGGAGCTCAGAGAAAGGCTGCACCCTTGCTCGCGCTGCCAAGCATGCGTTCCCTTCTTCGCAGGCACCGCTGCTTGTTTCCGGTGTCAGGCTGGGGTGAGTGGGACGGCTGGTCTGCGGAGGGCAGTGCGGCAGGCAGAGGGCACGTGCTGACCTCAGATGCTGCTCTAGCTCAACCATGACTGCTGGGGGCAGCATGTACCTCGGGAAGGAAGCAAACCTACCCAGAATCTAGCAGCCTGTTCCTTCCTGCCTTTTTTTTTTCTTGTTTAAATTTTTGTCTTTATTTTATTTTGAGAGACCGACAGAGAGCAAGTGGGGGAGGGGCAGAGAGAGAGGGAGACAGACTGTGAAGCAGGCTCCAGGGTGTGAGCTGTCAGCGCAGAGCCCGAACCGGGGCTCAAACCCACCGACTGTGAGATCATGACCTGAGCCGAAGTTGGACACTTAACTGAGCCACCCAGGCGCCCCTCCTTCCTGCCTTTTAACTCTGACCCTTCTGTGGTGGAAGTGGCTGAGCGGTGGGGGAGGTAGAGGCTTGGCTTGACCAGTGGCCCCAAGTCCTCTCAGGCTTTTCCCTGAAGAGCAGGAGCCCTACACCCTCTCACGAAGGTCTGGGGGTCTGCAGTCTGTGATGCTGGATGCCTGGACTCAGCCCTCATATTTTCCCTCTCCAGACCCGAAGCTCCCCATCCACAGCCTGGAGGGTGGGGAGCGAGTACCCTCGCTGTCATAAGGAGGGGCCGGGGCCCCCAGGACAGCTCCCGGGAGCCGTCCAGGGACATGTGGAGAGTCGGGGGGGGGGGGGGTTGGCAGGGCCCAGTCCGGGAAAGGCGGCTGAATACAGAGGTAGGGCCAGCATTACGGGGGGGGCCTGGATCGAGGTCACATCTGCACACAGGAGCTAGTACGGCAGCCACCTTGCTGCCATCGCTGCTGCACGAGGCCTCGGGTGCCGTAAGAGAACGAGGCGGCAGCCCTGCCTGACTGGTAAGGGCCCAAGCTGTGCCCAGGCATCCTGGACGCTCGCTGGTGCACGGTCAGGGACAGGGCTGGCGTGGGTGCAGCTGCCCGTCACGCAGCCCAGGAATGGGGAACGCCCTGCTGGCCGTGCCGTCCGAGGGCAAGGAGGCTAGACCGGAGCCTGTCCTCTGCCTGCCTGCGATCCCGCAGCCCCTGCCACGTGCTCACGTTGGTCCGGTGGGTCGGCGGGGGGCCCGAGGCGCAGGGCCTGCCAAGGGCTGAGGATAGCCTGTGCCCGCAGGTCCCTGAGGGTCGGCGTCCAGATCTCCTTGGACTACTGGTGGTGTGCAAACGTCGTCCTGCGAGGGGTGGAAGAGGTTTGTCCCCGTGTCCTGGCCACGGGGGGGAGGGGCAAGGGAAGGGGACAGGCCAGATGGAGGTGTTGGGGGCACTAAGGAGGTGCCCGCCTGCCCCCATTTTCCCTCCATGCCTGTGGTCAGAACAGCCCGGGGTACTTGGAGGTGATGTCTGCATGTCACCAGCGGGCGGCTGATGCCCTGGTGGCTGGGGCCATCAGCAACGGGGGCCTCTACGTGAAGCTGGGCCAGGGACTGTGCTCCTTCAACCACCTGCTGCCCCCGGAGTATATCAAGACCCTGCGTGTGCTGGAGGACCGAGCCCTCACCCGCGGCTTCCGGGAGGTGAGCCCTGCTCCTGGGGTGGAGCCGGGGGCTCTGGCATTGGCCCCCACGCTGCTCCAAGAACCCTCTCCTGCCAGGTGGACGAGCTATTCCTTGAGGACTTCCAGGCCCTTCCCCACAAGCTCTTCCAGGAGTTTGACTACCAGCCCATCGCTGCCGCAAGCCTGGCACAGGTGCACCGAGCCAAGCTGCACGACGGCACGAATGTGGCCGTGAAGGTACGCGGGGGGCCGCTCTGCCATGGCGGGCTCTGGGGCTGTGGCGGCGGCCCCGGGTCCTCCCTGCTGCCTTGCCTGATGCAGGTGCAGTACATCGATCTGCGGGACCGCTTTGACGGGGACATCCACACTCTGGAGCTCCTGCTCCAGCTCGTCGAGCTCATGCACCCCAGCTTCGGCTTTAGCTGGGTGCTCCAGGTAACCGCTGCCCAGAGGCAGGCTGGAGCAGTGTCTGCATGTGTGTGCTGAGGGCGGGCTGGTGCCTGACCTGGACCCCCAGCTGCCCATGTGGCCCCCAGGACCTGAAGGGCACCCTGGCCCAGGAGCTGGACTTCGAGAACGAGGCCCGAAACGCTGAGCGCTGTGCACGGGAGCTGCAGCACTTCCACTATGTCGTGGTCCCCCGCGTGCACTGGGACACGTCCAGCAAGGTGGGCTGGGCCCCCCCCTGGGTGGGAACGTACGGGCCTGCTGAGCTCAGCCACTTGCTCTCTCCCAGCGTGTGCTGACAGCTGAATTCTGTGAAGGCTGCAAGGTCAACGACGTGGAGGCCATCAAGACCATGGGGCTGGCGGCAAAGGATGTGAGTGCCGCGGGCATCAGCACCCGGATGTGGGAGGGGTGTGTGCATCCCAAGCACAGGGTGATGGTGGCTTAGTCCTGTTCTCTCTCCAGATAGCAGAGAAGCTCATTGAGGCTTTTGCTGAGCAGATATTTTACACAGGCTTCATCCACTCTGACCCCCACCCTGGCAATGGTAGGAAAAGCCCCCCTGGGGGGGACGGTGGGAAGGCCAGGGGTAGGGGGGCAAGAGCCGATGTGCTATGTTCCTAGTTCTGGTGCGGAAAGGCCCGGATGGGAAGGCACAGCTGGTGCTGCTGGACCACGGGCTCTACCAGTTTCTGGATGAGAAGTAAGCTGGGAGCTGGGGGGCCGGGGCGGGGCAGAGGGCAGGTGCTGACCGGGGTGCTCTAGCCTTACTGCTGGGCTCCCCCAGGGACCGGGCAGCCCTGTGCCAGCTGTGGCGAGCCATCATCCTGAGGGACGAGGCGGCGATGAAGACACACGCAGCTGCACTCGGGGTGCAAGGTGAGGCTGGGTGTGCAGGAGCATGGGCTTGTGGGGCACGTGGGCCTGGCTCACTGACCTCCCGCCCCCCCCCCCCCCCAGACTACTTCCTCTTCTCTGAGATGCTCATGCAGCGGCCCGTGCGCCTGGGGCAGCTGTGGCGCTCACACGTGCTGAGCCGCGAGGAGATGGCCTACATGCAGGCCAGGGCGCGGGAGCACTTCGAGGGCGTCATGGGGGTGCTCAAGGCCCTGCCGCGGCCCATGCTGCTCGTGCTGCGCAACATCAACACCGTGCGCGCCGTCAATGCCGCCCTGGGCTCCCCCACCGACCGCTATTTCCTTATGGCCAAAAGGTGGGTGCTGGCTGCTGGCACGCCCAGGGCGGGCGGAGGGTACAGCAGGACGGGGCCCGGCTGACCACGTGTCTGGGCAGTGCGGTCAGGAGCTGGAGCCGCCTGGCAGGTGCAGCGTACCAGAGAGTCTACGGTGCCAGCCTCCTGCGCCACATCAAGGTCATCTGGGAGATGTTCAAGTTTGAAGTGGCCCTAAGGTGAGGGGACGAGAGGAGGCAGCCGGCCAACAGCCAGCCAGTACCTGCTCCCCACCAACCGGTGACCCCTGTGCCCCCCCCCCCCCCCCCAGGCTGGAGACCCTAGCAATGCGGCTCACTGCCCTCCTGGTTCGGCTCTTGGCCCACCTGGGCTTCCTGCCCGAGGCCCAGGAGCTCTCCCAGTACCTGGAGACCTAGGGAGGCCTGGGCCAGAGGCCCTCAGAGCTCACCCGGCGTCCGACCAACAGATCAAGGCTGGAGGCCCGCGTGCCCCCCAAGACCTGGGGGCGGGGGACAACACAGGGCTGCACCCACAACCTGGCCGGGAGACTCTATAATGACCACAAGCTCTTTTCAAATCAAACTTTTTTTTCCTTGTGTTTTGTACAAAAAGGGGTTGGGGTGGCGCATAGGGGAGGGTCTAGAAGTGGGCGGTGACACGGTCCGTCTCCAGCAGGTCGTCCAGGATCTGCAGAGAAAGGGGCTGGTGAGGTGGGGGGAGGGGGCAGTGGGGGGAGGGGGCAGGGGAGGCAGGGCGGGGCTTACAATGTCGGGCGTGGTGCCGATCTTCTTGGCCAGCTCGCCGCGCTCCATGGTGCTCAGGTACAGGTAGCGGTTGAGCAGCTCCCCGTCCAGGACGTTGCGCACGGCGTTCTGCAGGATGCGCCGGTCCACGTGCAGCATCCTGGGGAGGCGGGCAGGCAGCAGGGCAGCCGGAGGGGGGGGAGGGGGGGGAGTTGTGCGGGGGAGGGGGGGACACACTCACCGGAAGGCCCTGGGGTTGAGGCCGGCGTGGTGGGGCAGCATGGTGGTCAGCGCATTCTGGAGCATTAGCAGCCGCCGGTAGGTCTTCTCCTGCATGGGCAGCAGGAGCCCGATGCCGCCGTCCAGCGTGGCTGCGGGAGGCACCGTGTGAGCCGGGCTGACCCCCCCCCACGTCACACATGCCCCCGTCCTGCCCCGGGACTCACCAAACCACGTGATGTGCTTGTTCTCCCACACGACCGACTTCTTGCTCGGGCCCTCGGCAGCCCCCCGGCACGGGGTCCTCCAGAACGTGTTCACGTGGGCGCCCACGTGGAAGTCCGCCCGGCGGAGCAGGCGCATGCCCCCGAAGCTCTCTTTGGCTAAGCCAGAGGGAGCTCAGGTCACCGCCTGCCCGAGCCCCCCAGCCCCGCAAAAGGGGAAGAGGGAACACTCACCTTCTGGCAGGTACATGTACACCATGAGGTTGCGGTCACGGTCGGACACTGGGGAGCAGAGTGCCCACGGTTAGCCCGGCCACACCCCAAGTCTGAGAGACCCCGAAGCCCGCAGGCCCTGTGCTCACCCAGGAAGCCCAGCTGGGCATTGTCCACCATGAAGTCCACACTATATACCTCCAGGGGCTTGGCGTCCTGGGGAGGGGGAGGGGAGGGACGTCAAGGTCGGCCTGAGACCGCACCCGCCCAGCACCGTGCGCAGGCCCCACGGGTACCCGGGACACCAGGCTCAGTGTCTTGCTCTCCTCCTGGTAGCGCAGCAGCGAAATGCTCTTCATGACGTCAGCGGCCAAGATGAAGTTCTTGACGCTGATCATCTGGTGGATGTAGAGCTGGGTGTCGATGAAGGCCATGCCTGTCAGCTCGCTGGCCCGCAGACTCCACAGGAAGATCTGGGGGGACACAGGAGGGGGCAGCGAGTGGTAGGCAGCGGGCAGGATTCGGAGGGCGGCGGGAGGGGACGCACCTTCTGGCCGATGGCAGACACCAGGTGGCCGTTGCAGTGGCACAAGGCAGTTACTGGCCCTTTCTGCTCCTTCTCATACAGGACCTTGAACTTGTTTTTGGTCAGGGGCTGGCCAGGCTCAGGCACCACCTCGATCACATCCATGATCAGGATCTGCCGGGGAAGGAGGGAGGGAGGGTGAGGTGCAGGGATGGTGCTGGGGCTGCCGGGCACCGGGCACCGCCCACCCCCTCCTGCCATCCCTTACCCGTCCTCGGCACGTGACCTCCTCCCCCTGCATGAGGCAGGTCCCAGCAGCCACGTAGCCCTTGAGGCCAGACACCGTCTCCTCACTGCGCAAGGACACCGTTTTCATGCAGGTCACGTGCTCCCACTCCTCCAGCTCGATCCTGCACACGACAGGGTCAGGATGCAGCCTACGGTCCGCGGCCCCTGGTCCGCGGCCAGACCCAGCCTCACCTGGCATTGGGGATGGCTTCCCAGCTGACTGGGGAGATGAGCTGGATGGAGAAGGCCTCCTGCTGCGGGTGGATGTACCGGTCGTCTGCAAGGACAAAGGGCGACGGTCAGGGCGGGCGGTCCCAACAGCAAGCCCCGCTCTGGGCGTCGCGCACCTCTCTCAATAGTCTCGAACTCCTTCTCTTCGCCGGTCATGCGCGGGATGCGGGTGCACGGCATGTTGGTGCTGGTGGCAACAGCATATACCTGGGGGAGAGTGGGGGGCGTCACGGGCAGGTGAGAGGCAAGGCCCAGAGGGTCTCTGGCCTCACGGGGACAGGGTCAGACCTTAGACTCCACATGGTAAGCCACATAGTGGGCTGTGCAGCGCAGGGGGATCTTCCTGACAGGCCACGGGGCGTCGTATGACAAGTAGGCGGGCAGGACGCTGATCCTCAGCTCACCCTGGAGGGGCGGGGCACGAGGGTCAGTGAGGCCCGGCACCCGCTGAGGGCAGGCCACGCAGGCCCGGGCTTCCCAGGACTCGGCACAGCCTCAGCTCCGCTGGAGCAGGCACGTGCAAGGGGCTGAGACTGGCTGTCCTGTGTCTCATCGGCTTCCCGTCCCCTCTCCCAGGCTCACCCGGGGCTAGGATGCTGGCCACAGACCTGGTCTGGGTCAGGACAAGGGAGGACCAGGCTCAGGGGAAGCTGGAGGCTGCAAGCAAAAGCTTACCCGTACACTGGCCACACCAGAGTCAGCACAAACGGATAAGGGACCCCTGCCAGGAGCCCCCCTTTACCCGTGGTCCTAAGTGTGTCAGTATCTACAGAGCACTTGCTGTGTTATCATCACCTGGTCACCCTTCAGAGTGACCCTTCAGGTCACCACCATCATCCTAGCATCGTGGAGGATGAAATGGGAGGCTCGGAGAGGGCGAGCACCTTGCCCAGAGTCACACAGCTCCTGAAGGGCAGGGCAAGCTGCAGACGGGTGCCTAGCGGGCTACAGCCTCTACTGCCACCCGCCCTGTCCTCCAAGCCCTCCCAGTGTTAAGCCCCAAGTTGCACCTCTTTGGCCTGGACCCTGTCCACTGTCTGAACAACCCTGTGACCCTCCGGATAAAACCCAGGATCCTGCCCTGTCCCGAGCTGTTGAGGGCCTCATTCCTGGGGCCCAGGCACCACTGGTGAGAGTCAGACGGAACTGAGCAGAGCAACGTGGGGCGGCCTCAGCCTGGGGTCTCCCTACCTGTCTGTTGAAGTAGAGGAATCCACGGGGACAGTTGACATTGTGGAACGGGGCAAAGGAGTCGATGGGGCCGTCGATGCCCATGGGGTGCAGCCGCAAGGCCCCCCGGCCAGTCACCAGGAGCCAGTGAGGTGAGGGGCCGCAGATGAACACCTGAAGACAGGTACTATGAAATGAAGGCCCATCTGCACCCCCCCCCCCCAGGACCCCCCATAAAGCCACCTGCCTACCCCTGAGTAGCCATAAATGTCCTCGAAGTATCGGAACCGGGCCACACGGCCACGGGCCCCGGCCCCCTCCTCAGCGCTGCCGCCTTCCACTTTCTTCTTGGATGGCTTTGGCTTCTTCTCCCGGAAGTTGATGTTGTGAGGGACCTGGGGGTGGAGGTGCGCGCACCGTGAGGACCGGGTCTTCCCCTCACCTGCTCCACATGCGCCCCACGCCCGGCACAGCCTGCTCACTGCACCTTCTTGAACCGGACTTTGAGGTTCCCCTGGCCGAGCTGGGAGTCGTGGGGGAAGGCCTCGTAGATAAGCAGCTCCTGGTCCACATGCACCTGTGTGGCAATGCGGGGTCACCAGGGGAGGGTGGGGGACAGTGCGGGGTCACCGGGGGAGGGTGGAGCACACTTCAGGGGGCCCATACTCACCAGGAGGTAGGGCCTGCTCTGGCGGCTCCCCAGCGCCACCAGCAGCACCTCCTTGACAAGGGGCAGCTCCCCCTGGCGTGTGGCCTCCTCCTTTCGGGCCTCACCCTGTGTGGTGGGCTGACCAAAGGAGCTGTCCACCAGGACCCGCTGGCCCACGGGAAAGTTCTTCACCAGGAACACTAGCCGCCAGTCAGGGAGCTGGTAGATCTGTGCGGGGAGTGGGATTAGCAGCGGCAGGAAGCAGGGGACAGGAAGCCGCTTCGGGTGTACGGCGGCACGCACCTCCATGGTTCCGTTTTCCCGCACCAGCAGGCACCAGTGCGTGGGCTCGGCCCGGAACGGGGGAGGGTCCCGGTCAGCAGGGGGCTGGCTGCTCCTGCGGGCCTCCTCCTTGCTGGGGCTGAAGAGGGAGCCCGAGTCCCCATACAGCATCTCCTCCTCGTCGTCCACTGTGGGGCTGGGGGCCAGCAGACAGGTCACGCGTGGCCTGCCACGCGGACCCTAGACCCAGCCCGTGCCCCCGCCACCCCGCATACCTGGTTTCTGAGCCCTGGCCCTCCGCCTCGGAGCCGCTGCGGCCCCCCAGCTCGTCACGGGCCCCGCCCAGGCGGCTCTCCGTGGTGAACATGCCGCTGACGTCGCGGTACACACAGAGCGTGATCACCTTGGACTGCTGCGGAGACAGGGGCCGGGCTCAGCGCCGGGGGAAGGGGAGTCGGCAGGCTGTGGGCGTGATGGGGGAGGTGCTCACATGGTGCAGCGGGGGCTTGTGCAGCGCCAAGCGGTGGTGACGGCCACCATATGAGTCGCTTTTGAGCAGGAACATGGTGACGTGGCCCTCGGCACTCATGATGACCACGTAGGGGTCAGCCACGGCACACTGCACGATGGGGGAGCCCAGGTCCACGGGGATGAAGTGCAGCTGGTTCACTGTGGGCACAGGACGGTCAGCACTGGGTGGTCAGCACCGACCACCCTTGCCCACCTGCCCACCCGCCCGAGCCCACCTCCTTCCAACAGACGGATGCCGAGCGGCGACACCTGCACGATGTAGCGGTTGTCCCCGATGTTGCCAGCGAAGACGGTGGGGCCCTGCGTAGCAAAGCCACTAGTGTCCAGCTCCATGATCTCCTGGCCCGTCTGCAGGATCTACAGGCAACGGGGAGTGAGGCGCACACTCACCGTGGGGCCCCGCCCCGGGCCGCTGGTCCCCCAGCCCCTTACCATGGTGGAGTCTTCCCGGCTCAGGATAAGGAACCCGTGTCTTCGTCCGTCGTCGTCTGCCTCAAGAGTGCTGG